CCCCCCCCCCATTTCTTGTTATCAGCTACGAAAATCCTGTTCTGCCCTTCCAATATGTCTAGAGACTTGTAGCAGCTTAAAATACTGGATCAAGATTAGTTAAATTCTTTGAGAAAAGGTTCTGCACCATCTACCAGCCTGTCATAACCCTCCATCTGGGCTCAGGAGCAAAAGATGAAAACTATAAAGAAAACATAGAAAAAAAGTGATGTTTATTCCCATAATAGCAATGCAAAAAGAGTAAACGAGTAATCAGTAAAATAAGTTGAATCATTGCTTGTAAGGTTAAGAAGAGTAACTTACTCAACAGCCACTGCCAATTGCTTAAGGATGGATGCTGGAGGAATTTTAGCCATGCAGGGAGCATTTATATTTATATTCCCACTTTCTAAACCCTGTTAAAATATTAATTTCAGTTTCATACAGAAGTACCATAATAATTTTAAAGAAAAAGAATTTCATAATTTCCATCAATGTAAGAAAAAGTATCTTAAGTGCTTGAGAACCTTTCAAAGTGCTACTAATAGTATTATGCAAAGAAAACAAGAAATCTAGCAAGCATCTCAGTGACAAGCCTAGAGAGGGACCATCTGGATCAGTTCAATGACAAGCGCTGTCAACTTGTCATCAGAAATTGAATATATTAACTAGTGTAGTTAATAATTTAATATATCTGATGAGGGGTGATTTGGCATGACCTAGTAAGAAGGGGACACGTAGACGCGATCTGCTCGAGGGGTGACAACTCAGCCAAATGAACCCATTTCGCAACATTCGGAGCTCGAGTATCCAGCCACCTCGTCCTAAAAAACCACCTTGGCATAGAGACAACTCGACACCCAATACAGTTCGGGAATAAAGAATCGAAGTGCCAGTTCGGAGCTAATGAGCCGAAACTCCACATAACTGACTCCAAAGGCCTCCCCAACAGACCCCGAATTTCTCGATATCACGATGAGACTCATCCTAGCTCCGCCTGAATCGGAGGTAAACGATAAACCTTATCAACATATTGCTCTCCTTCAAAAACGGAACAAACCTTATTTGCACAGCTCGGAGATCCCAGAGCTCTTTCGTAAGGCCCACGACTATTCCATTATATAAGGACAAGAAACCTCAAGGCAAAGGTACGCATGATTATTTTACTCACTAGCATTCAAGCACTCAAGACTCAGCTCACATTCATAGTATAAGTACTGACTTAAGCATCGGAGCGACCTCACCGGGTCAGTTACCCCAGGTTCTCTGATCTACTATTCTGCAGATTGGTCCAGCTCGTCGCCCAACTAGAGTTCGGATCGTCTTCCAGCTAGGAGTGTTTAGATCGCGCACCATCAATTGGCGTCATCTGTGGGAAACGATCGAAAGGTCATCCCAACTTTAGTCGCAGTTTTATCTATCACAATGGACTCTTCCAGCAACACCGGAAAAAGTATCGAGATAAACGTTACCGGGGGGGCAAGATCAACAATCAACCTTCCCCCAAGGTCCTACGGTATGCATTGGCCAATTTACTATTCCTCTTACCATGTCCAGAATCCCATCACTATTTGTGTCGCAGAGCGCTACGCAAGTGAGCGTCCCACTTCCCCCAGTGGGCACGACTTTCTCCGAGCCATCCGTGGTCCCTCTTGGAATCGGGCACTCCCAATTCCATGACCTCATCCAGTGCGTCCGGGCAATACAGATCCAAATGCAGCAGGTCCAACAATTTTAGTAGTACTATCTGTACCAGCAGTATCAGCACCAATTCCCACCACTGCAGCAGCAGCCAATTCCACCTCGGCACACCAGACTGCGTCAAGGCCACAACCCGAATTGACCTGGAACTAACCAGAACATCAACCGATCCCCTCATCGGGGTGAGGGGACCTCGCAAGTACCGATTCCTCCTAGGGGTCAGGTTTCACCCCGTGGGAGGAGAAACAGTCAGCACACTCCTCCAGTCTCGTAGGGAAATTTTATGAGCAAGTCCGGGGATAATCATCTCAACAGGGCCAATTTGCCTCGGCACTCCCAGCAGAAAAACGATGGCTCGTGAGGAGATAATAACCAGCCCGGAGTTCGAGGTGCAAACTCGAGGCAGGACCCCTCCGTCCCTCGTGATAGCCAGTACGAACCCCACAACCAAGAGAACCTAGCGAGAAGGAACCAGGATCCACCTCGCGATAATGCCGAAATATCATATCAGACTGAAATCAGCAGCACCAACGCCGATCCGGTGAAGAAGCAACAACGGCAACGTCTCAAGACACGCCGCCCCTCAGCCAGGAACAGCCCGCCGACGAAGCCAGGCCAGCAAGCAGAGCAAGCCAAAGAAAAGGAAGAAGTGAGCTCAGTGGCTACGAAGACTACGCCTCCACTACTTTGCCGGTCATCCCCACTATCTCTCGAGCTATTGGCAACTCCAATGCCGAAAGATTTCAAGGTGCCTCCGTTAGACAAATATGACGGGTCATTCGACCTTCTTGGTAGGTGTAATCCGTTGGATATAGATCCAATTTTTCAATTTTGTTTTTGATTCCTTAGAATTTTTTTTTTCCGCTCCTGGTGGTATCAAGATGCCACTATGCCGGGATATCTTATCTGTTTCTCCAGGAAAATGGATATCTCCAGAAAAGATTTTCAGTTCAATCTTTTTTTTTTTTCTCTCCACTCGGACCAATCCGCCTACTCGGCTTCTTGTATTTAAAGTGATTCGTGTATCTACTCTAGCCAGGAGCAACCCGCCGACGAAACCAGGCCAGCAAGCAGAGCAAGCCAAAGAAAAGGAAGAAGTGAGCTCGGTGGCTACGAAGACTACGCCTCCACTACTTTGCCGGTCATCCCCACTATCTCTCGAGTTATTGGCAATTCCAATGCTGAAAGATTTCAAGGTGCCTCCGTTAGACAAATATGACAGATCATTCGACCCCAATGACCATGTGGATTCTTTCCAATCTCAGATGCACCTAGCTGGGAATGATGAGTCCTACATGTGTGTGGCCTTCTCCACTACGTTTAGGGGGGTAGTCCGAACTTGGTATCGGAACACTATCCGGTTCGGATTCAAGGCATCGAACAACGAGGCAGAATATGAAGCACTGGTCGTCGGGCTAACCTTAGCAAAGGAAATGAAAGCAAAGCACCTCATCGTATGTAGCGACTCACAACTAGTGGTTAACCAAGTCACTGGTGAGTTCGAAGCCCATGACCCCACTATGGCAGGTTACTTGGCCAAAGTCAAAGAGATCCTGCGCAACTTCGTCTCCTGCTTTATCAGACAAATTCCGAGGTCCAAGAACGCTGAGGCCGACGCCTTGTCACGACTACCTAGCACGAGCAACAACACTATGCGAACTGTGTACATAGAAGGCTTACCTCGGCCCAGCATTCTCGAGGAGCAGAAGAGGTCGCTCCCGTGTCACAAGCGAAACCGAGCTGGATCGACCCACTCGCGAGTTATCTGCTACACGGGACCCTACCTGCGGAATGCAATGCAGCTCAGAGGGTAGAGCACCAGTCAGCCAAGTACGTCCTCATAGATGGATAGCGGAATTCACCTAATAAATAGAAAGCAAGCGTAAATACCATTAATAGAAGAATAAGAAGGTAAACAAAGGGGCAGGTTACCACCATACAATAGCTAGCCGCTCTCCCTCCATGCTAACTCGTTGGCATGTCAGCCCACTCTGCGACCTCCGCAGGAAACACGGCATCCTTGCTCTTAAGAAACCCGAGTCGCGGAGTCATTATGCTCTCCTTCGCTGAACACTCCTCAGAAGGTTAGCAACGTCAACACCCGTCATAGCTTCTGCAAGAGAGAAGAAAAAGTTATCCACGAACTGAAGTAAGTGCAAAAAAAAAAAGGAAAAGCAATGTGTGTGCCGAGGTGGAGACCTACCAGGAGGACTCAGCCCAGCTCGTACAAGCTTTTCCTCAGCCAGGAAATCTTTCATTTCAAGGCTGAGGTCCCTCCAAGAGTTAATGACTGCCCTAGTCTCAACATCCAACCTTACCCGAGGTCCTTAATGGCCACTCGTCAATGAGTCAAGAATGGCCATCTCTCAGGATTCTGAACAAAGAAATACCTCCTCTTCCAGGTCGATACTTTGTTTGGGTTACCGAACAGAACCTCGAACCCAGGGCGAGGAGAGATAATAGCTTTGTCGGGTGTCCCTGTGCAGGCAAGAAGAGTTCTTCTTGATGGAGCAAATCGAACTAAATATGTCTAAGGTAAGAGGTCGGTTATACTCGTGGAAAAGTGAGATCGTGCCAACAGTGGTACGGATGGAGTTCGGGTGTAGCTGGTCAATAGTGATGTTAAAGAACTTAATGATTTCTACGATGAAAGGGTGGAACGGGAAGCGCAACCCAGCTACAAGCTGCTCCTCAAAAACCACAAGCTCGTGATGAACGTGAACCCAAGGGTATTGACCCAAAGGAATACTGAAGACAAGGGTGTCAGGGAGACGGTAACAGGATACCAAGGACAACAATCTGTCCGAGGCCATCGTGGAAGGGCCAAAGTTGTCCGGATCCCAACCTCGAGAAGAAGATGGGACCCCCTCTCCGGAGGTTGGTCGCTCTACCTGAGGTTCGGGTTCCTCAAGCCGAGATGGCCCGACGTCTGGTAAAGGCGTTTCCCCTAAAATGTGTAAAGAGGAGCTCTCTAGCAAAGAGTTGGCCTCACCGGCGGGAGCCGAGGACCGTACCTCAGCACCCTCGGGCTCACTAGAATCACTAAGTAACCTATCTATGCTAGCACTAGACATATTGGACAGGAAAAGGAAAGGGGAACAACTAGTGAAAGAAGACGAACTCACCAAAAAGACGATAACGACTTCGAACACAAAGGGAAGAATGGCGAGCTCAATTACACGATTTATGGCGAAGGTAATGGGCCCTTCGGCCCTCTATTTATAGTCCACCACATTCAGCAATCAATGGTTGAGACATGTATGATCCGATGGCTCCCATAAAAACTGGTTGCACGCTACCCGAGGACGAAATCGATTGAGCGTGCCCTTTGGCATCCGCGGAATTTATAAACAGTGTGATGTTCGCGCGTGCTCGAGACGCGACCTGGGTCATTTCATGGTTGAGCCAGATGGTTGAACAGACCCGACTAACGGTTCACCCTCCAAATTGTCTAGATTTCGTGCCAAATCCACCTGGACTCGTCATGAACTCCCCGCACCGGGTTAGGACCTTTGGCATGAGGAGTGGGGGCAATTGATGAAGGGTGATTTGGCACGACCTAGTAAGAAGGGGACACGTAAACGCGATCTGCTCGAGGGGTGACAACTCAACCAAAAGAACCCGTTTCGCAACATTCGGAGCTCGAGTATCCAACCACCTCGTCCTAAAAAACCACCTTGGCATAGAGACACCTCGACACCCAATACAGTTCGGGAATAAAGAATCGAAGTGCCATTTCAGAGCTAATGAGTCGAAACGCCACATAACCGACTCCAAAGGCCTCCCCAACAGACCCCGAATTTCTCGAGATCACGATGAGACTCGTCCTAGCTCCACCTGAATCGGAGGTAAATGATAAACCTTATCAACATATTGCTCTCCTTCAAAAACGGAACAAACCTTAGTACGCGCAGTATTTAGATCGCACACCATCAATATCCAAAGAAGAGCAAATGGCTTCAGAGTCACAATTTTGCAAACACAAATTCATCATATTGAACTTCCCTCTGAACAATATTTCAATAATAATGTTAATATAAAACACGTTAGTCAAAGATTAAATGCAGATTCATGCATATCAAAAAAAAAATAATTAAATATGACTTGCAATGACAAAAAGAGTAGAATTTAATTACTTTCATTTCAGAATTCAATAGCTGTCCGTCAACAGCTGGAAAAGCGGAATTCAAGTTTTCAAATTTCTTCTTATCTCCTTCTGTTTTTCGTTTTGTCATGTTCTTCAACTGCTCTTGCCAATCGTACCAATTATGCTTTTTCCCTTGGTGTGCAGGTATCCACTTTGAACGCTTGAGTTCATTATGATTCTGCATATATATTCATATGAAAGCATCAATACAGATGGTCTTTAATGCAATCCTTCTTCATGGTAATCCATTAAAGAAACACCAAGTATACTAGAATCTATGAAGTATTTGTGCATGATTGAACAATATGATATCATAGTCATAACTTGTATTAACCTTTCTTAAATCAGAGAATGAAAAAGAAAAACAAAAAGGTGATATGTATGCCCCAAAATTCATAAAACAAACAACGTCAAATTAAAGGAAAATGAAATAACTTGGCCATACATTTCAATTAGGACACAACAAAAGAATAAATTGATGGCACAGTGGAGTTAACAAGATATTAACTATAACGAAGAAGATAGAGAATTAAAGATTCAATCTTTACCTCTCCTTCGGTCTTTATAAATCGCTGCTCGTGCTCAGAGAGCTTCTTGGAAGTTTTCTGAGATTGCTCTCCGGTTTCTTCTCCGATCGAATTAATTGAATAAAATAAATGAATTAAGCAATAAACATATCGCATAGAAACAAAGATTTCAGACACGAAGTAAGGGGAAAATCAAAAAGAAGATGAAGGAATTAAAGACAAAAAGAACCTCTCTCGCTCTTAAAGTCTGCTTTGATGTCCGTCAGAACTTTCTCCGCCTTCGCTGCCGCAGAATGGAAGGCCGTTTTAGCTTTGGAGACAAAGGAAGACGACTCCATTTGGTTAGCAAGCAATGGCTGCTCGTGTACTCTGTGTGTGTGTCTGAGAGAGAGAGAGAGAGAGAGAGAGAGAGGACGAAATGGAAGTGGCGTTTTTGAATTGGAGGGAAGGATGGACTCGTAAATAATCAATAACGAGGCAACATGCCAGTGTTCCGTGAATGTGCGCTAGGGCCCACACCACAAGTCTCTATATTTACACAATTACACTGGATTTCTATCATTCTACTGCCTGCTTGGCCCCAACAGGCTACCAACCACGCTTGACTCAGACTCCACGTGGCAATTGTTGAGTTTGGGGAGTTCACACCAGTGAATGACCCATTCTCCACTTTATTTTTTTATTTTTTGATAAATCGACCCATTCTCCACTTTATTTATTTTTTGGATAAATCGACCCATTCTCCACTTACGCAAGGAACCGAAGCGTCGGGGCTACTGGGTCAGCCTTAGGGTGGGTGGAGAGTTTCTCATGGAGAGATCCATCTGACGTTATGGAACAAGAATTCAACATTAAATAATCATATATTTCATGTTGTTGTATTTACTCCTAAACTCAAAACAACTTTAGATATAAAATCACAATATTAGAATATTCATGGTTCTTTTTAACTTGTTTTTCAAGTAACACCAAAGCAGGATAAACGCCTGCAAAAAGTCCATTTTACAAAAAGTCGTTTTAACCACCAAAATCTATTATTATTATTAATATTATTACTATACAGGATTTGTTAAAGAAAAGTGAAACAATATAAACTGATAATTATTTTAAATCAGGAATGTAATGTTTTTAAAATAATTAATCTTTATTTTAGTATTTTATCATAAAAATAATTCAGTAATTTAAATTAATTATATTAATAATTTTTAATAAAAATAATAAATTACTGTTAATTACTTAATAAAATAATTGTTTTTTCATATTATCCATTAGTGTTATATTTTATTTATTTTATTTTATTAATGATTAAATGGTATAATCTTTTTGTAAATGTTATTTACATATTTAAAATACTTAAATATTAGTAAATATATAAAGGGGTTGTAGTGATAATTAAATTAATCTATAGATTAACTTTTTAGTTATAATTATATTAATCTAAACTCGAGCTTGAGGTTTAAGACTTCGGGTTGGGGTTTGCTTAATCTTAAATCTGACCTAATTCTTTAAGAGTAATCTGGCGTAATTTGACTAAACCAAACAGAGCACAACCCATGTATGCATTATTTTTGGGTTTTTGACTATTTTTTGATAAAAATTTGTTAATATTGAACCTGAAAGAGCTATGGAGGATGGCCAAAGCCAGCCCACATCCCCAAGCATACTAAGTTTGGGCCTGGGATAGGGACAGGCTTGCCCTCATTAATTATAAAACTGTGATGTTTTTTATAAATTATTTTTATTTAATTTTAATTTATTATAAAAATTTCTATCTATGTATTAATATAAATTTTGTTATCTAAATATATGCATATATAGCTTCTAAGTTGAACTTAGGGGTTAGGTTGGGCCCTACTTGCCCAAAGGGCTGTCAATGTACTCCAAAAATCCAATAATCTATTTGACTCCAAATCTAATTATCCTAGATTTAGATGTTAGAATTTGCATCAAATTAATAATTAGATTATTCTTTTTGAAAAAGATAAGATATGATTTATTAAAAAATAAAGTATACAAGGAGTATACACTGGGAGTTCCTACAACTCCTAGAGAGAGAGAGAGCCCACCCCACACACAGGCTGCCATCTCCCAATGAACAAAAAGAGACCAGTACACCAAAACAACTTAAATAACTTAAATAAGACTTAAAAGGACATGGCCTGCGACCCAGACGCCAGATGGTTAGAAACATGCTAGTGAGGCAAGGGGAGAGAAAAAAGAGGCCATCTATCTACCTCTCCCTCTTCTTCCTCTACCCCTTACACTCCGCTTAGACTTAAGCTTCGATTTCCAACACCTTGCGAGACATTCCAAATTGCCACTGGACCAATCTGAACCGCTACTCTCGAATTCCGATTCTTTAGAAATCGAACTACCATCCAAGTCTTCTAAAACAGTAGATACCCCTTCAAGCTCTTTATTTTTGAACCACTCTCTGACCTGTTCTTCTTGGTCAATACCAAAGGTCACCCCTAGTAGAAGGTTCCCAAAATTCACCCTTCTATAAGCAATTGCTAAAACCTTTACTAACTCTTGACCTGCAAATCAGGTATCTCGCCTTATGGACTGTTTCCTCATCTGGACAGAAAGAAACACGGCCTTCTTTAAAGGTCCGCAAAGGAGGGCTAGTGGACTCGGGACCTGACACCGCACCCAATACAGCAAGGGGCTTCGAGCCTTCGACGCGAGGTTAGGCCCGAGAATGGGCTTAAACCGCTGCCAGGTTGTAACAAGGGTTCTCTTCGTCGCGCCATCAAGTGCCATCCACTGTGCCTTCAGCCGCAACTCCAACGTCCAAGTGTGTGCCATGGGTGGGCTAAACATGTACTTTTGTATGGGGGA